CGTCACACGCGACACCGCGTTGTTCCTCGCGCGCATGTTTACACACGTTTACACACGCATTCGCAGCATACTTCAATTAGCCACCTTGATTCCGCGGAAGTTTCCTCCGAGGCTTTCGTGGAAAATGGATTTTTCCCCGGGAACGAGTGACTCGGCTCTCTTGCCGGATTTCTTAACATAATCCTCCTCCGCGTCCCGGAATCGCGATCGCGATAAAGCAAAGGTCTCGAGAGACTTTTCGGCTTTTTCACCCCACCTTCTCCCGTCCACCGTGTGCCGTGCCGCCCGGTTTCTTTTCTTTCCCGCGTCTTTTTTAACCGCGCGTTTTTAGCGCCCTTCGCGCTAGAATCGCGCTCTCCTCGAGGACACGATAGGCGCGACGAAGGCACCTATAACACTCGAACCTTGGCCATGCTAATAGGGTAGATTCGCTCGATAGCGTTCGCCCGCTCGCTGCAACTCGCAGCCGCGCGCATTACGTGATCGGGGGGTACCATCGATACCGTGATACATAGTACGGAAGCACCGCCGCTGGCGAATTATTTCGTTTCCCCGGAATCGTTTACCGTTTCACAATTGGCGGCGACAATCGATCCTCTCGACAGCCACGCTCTCGTTCGAACAGCTGATCCCGCCCGTCTGTACGAAAGCGGATCACCTGTGTGTGTAGGGTAGGGCCAGGTAGGGTGGTTTTACCTGGTAGATCGCTAGAGAAATATCGCTGCTGACAGAATTGTAACGTTAATCGCGTATTGTCAAATCTTCCAATTCAATCCGTGTGTGCGATGCGTCGACGATGATATCCGAAGGAACTCGTCTCGTGGTGAAATATTGCGAGGCACAACACGAGGCTAAGATCAGATCTTTCTGCGGGAGATTCAAGGTGAAATTATGTCCGAGACATTCCGCCGGGAACATGTGAGCTTGCTCGATGACGCGACATTTCCCGAGAGCGTTCAATGTTACGCACATGCAAAAACTCGCCACATGGTGGTTGAACCTCGCTTCGTGTCTCGTCGAGTCGGAGTAATATTCGCCGCCGTCGTCGTCGTCGTCGTCGTCGTCGTCGTCGTCGTCGTCGTCGTCGTCGTCGCCGTGGAAAAAGTCCCATCGTTCCTGTACGATGAGAAAAGAGAGAAAACGGGGTGCAGATCCGGCGGTGTCGCATTGCGGCGCAGGGGGCAAAAGTATCACCCGATGTACCGACCTCGAAAAGTACGACAGACGACGCACTCGAAACTCGAGCGAGGCCGTTAGAAAATCGAACGACGCCCCTGTAGAACATCGCGACCCGGAGGGAGAGGGAGAGGGAGTCCGAGAGAGAGAGAGAGAGAGAGAGAGAGAGAGAGAGAGAGAGAGAGAGAGAGAGAGACATGGTAGAACGAGAGGGTGCAGAAGATTGTACATACGAAACTGTTCATGCAGCGAGAGGCGGAGTGAATTATATCGATGTCAAGCCCCGAAGATAAGTGGCTGAGCGCCATAAGTGTCCTGTCCGGCCGAAAATTTCTAACGTTTCGCTTTAAGCCGGACAAACGTGCCGTTGGAAATGCTACCCTCCTTGGTTGACAAGACTTGACTTGGACACTTGCATCGTGGATTAAACGTACGTGGCGTGCGATCGCCTGTGTGTGTGAGAGAGAGAGAGAGAGAGAGAGAGAGAGAGAGAGACGCGCAATGTGAGAGGTGAACTCCCTGGGGATTGCCGTTAAGGATTGCGTAATTTCGGCGATTATGCGATAAGATGCGATAACGAAGCGATTTGGCTGCTTCGGAGAGTCGCCGCTGCGACAACGTTTGTCTTTAATGTTAACTCGTTGCGTTAAATCATTGTTTCTCTCCCTCCCTCTCTCTCTCTCTCTCTCTCTCTCTCTCTCTCTCTCTCGACGCCCGGATATCTGAGCAATCAGAGAGGATAACGAGCGGACGTCTAGCACATCCCCCGTGTGCAAAGGAGAAATGCCAGTATGGAAAGCCAAGGCGTAATTTCGGCGTCTTGTCAGCCGCGATTGCGCTACAAGTATTCCGCCACTAAAAATTCGTATTATTCTTGTTGTCGATCACGTGCCAAGGACGCGGAGCGTTCTGGAGCCGCGTTTTATATCGCGCTTTTTCCGCGCCGTGCCCGCATACCCTCTTCGGTCCTCTCGTGCTAAATCACGAGACGAAGACGTTGCATTGTACCGCCGGTTAAGCAAGCTCGCAGCTCGCGAGTAAAACGCGAGTTAGTTAGTGACGCTGATAAACATCATCGTCCGATCGCTTATCGAACGTCAGGCCTTGCAATTGCCAAATTTACGACAATCACCGTATTGTGTGCGCAATCTCGCGTACGATAACGATTGGTATTCGAGTATTCAGCAGCAAATAAAATTTTAATTCAATGCGAGAGCACATGAAATCTTACCTTTCTTTTACCTTTTTTACTTCAAAATAAATTTAAAAAAATTTTAAATAAATTAAAAAAGAAAATAAAAAAAAAGTAAATTAAAAAAGACGAAACTGAAAGGACTAAATTAGATTGGATACGTTAAAATCGTGCGTCTAGATCGGTCAATCTGACTGGACTCGCGGCCAATTCTCGACGACGAATATCGTCGAGTGTCAATCGTTATTGTGTCACGCACGTCCAGATCCTGTTTATGACGGGCTTGTTCGATCATTAAGAATTTACAGCGCGTCGTGCACCGGCATCCGCGCCGCGTTCTCGGTTCTCTATATCGTCGCTGGGAGGAGAATCGAGTCGCGTACGCTCGGGCGTGGTGCCTTCGCGAAAGACGGAAGCGTTACGATCATTGACATTGTTCCACTGCTCTCCCACTGACTTCCGTCCTCGCGTTATCCCCGTGGAATCGATCGAAATCACCCCCTTATCCTCCTGCTTCTCCTCCTCCTCCTCCTCCTCCTCTTCCTCTCGGATAGCGCGTCCGCGACGTTGTAATTTTTCTCGCGTCTCGCGTTTTATCGCGGCGCTCTGTCCCTGAGAATTTTGGATTCCATCGCGTCTTTTATCGCGCTCTTCAAACGAGAGATCAGCGGAATTAGATTTCTGCGTAATCTCGCGCTCGCCTTTTTATTTTCGGCATAATTTCGCCTTTCCTTTTTGCCTCGCCTTTATTTCGGGATCGATTTCCGCGATTGTACATGCTTCTACCACCGGAAGGAATTTCTCGCTCTTCCGCAACCGGTACATGTGTGTGTATGTAAACATGTGTACTTGGTTAAATTATCCCCAAATTAGAGAGGGCCGAACCCGGCCTTCACACAAAAGTACAATACACTGGTCATACACTTTTATCTTATCTGTCTTCTTTACCTATCTTCTTTCTTATATATATGTGTATATATATATATATATATATATATATATCTCATCTACCTACAACAATAAAATCTTTTTTATCCATCTTGCAATGATAACATAGTCTTTGAAAGATGTTGAGACGCGAACATCGCGATGTCCACGTGAGAATCATCGCGGCTTATCGCGAAGCTGCCGCGAGGCAGCTTCTGGCGAGTCCCTGCAAGCTGTCATCGTGAAAACTCGCCGAGTATGACAAGTGTCGGTGTCATCGCGAGTCATCTTGCCTCGCGTCGATGGCCGACCGATGGGGACGACGTGCAACGACATAATCGTGCAACGACATCAAACGCTACAGCGCGCGCAGCGGCGTGGCTAGTTGACTGCGGAGAGAGAATGTAGATGTGGAGATGGGTGGCGGCGGTGGTAGCGACGTTGGTGGCGGGGCGACGGTGGCGGCGGCGGCGGCGGTGGCGGCGGCGGCGGCGGCTGGTTACGGCGGAGGGGTGTGCGGTGAAAGGCAGAAGGCAGACGGGCGGCAGACACCCTGTGCTTATCCCCACCTCGCACCACCTCGGTCCGTGACTCACCAAACCGTTAAAGGATGAAGCCGCCCTGCTTTCACTCTACGCGCGCTATACACACATACATGCACGCGCACAGACGCACGCAGGTGCACATGTACGGTACCCTGTGTGGAGATAGAGAAAAGGGCGAGAGAGCGAGAGAGAGAGAGAGAGAGAGAGAGAGAGAGAGAGAGAGAGCGCGAGATGCGGGGGACGGTGCTTTCGAGTAAACGAGCGTTGAACGTCGCGCGTACACGTGTCTGTGTGCACCCTTATGTACAGGGTGGCTGCGAAATGCAGCGAGCTCGACCTGCCGATTTTTCGCCAGCGGCAATTTTGCATTCCGTGCAGGCTTCCTCTCGATTGGAGAGCGCAGATGTCAGGGCTTTTCGGTCGACGACGAGCGATCGAAACACGAAACATTCTTCCGATGATCCTGCTTGTCCTGGAAATGGACAGCCTTCGGGGCGCGATCGGATCAGAGTAAGGGAGGGGCCGTAACTGTATTCATTTACGCTCAATCTGGTCTTCATTCGTTCGAGAGTGTAATTCAGGATTGCGCGATTGCTGGGATCAAGCGTGATCGCTTGATATTCGTCGTTGAGGTTCCGTCGTCTTGAAAATTGAAGTCGCTTACTTCAGGGCACACTGTATACGAAGTCCGCCCGCGTACTTTCTAGCACAGACAGAGCAGACAGCAAAAAGGGACAAAACGAACGGAGTCTGGAACGCCCGGAAAAATCTACCCTGTCCATGCGCGGTCGCGACATTTTTATCGTGAACACGCCGGAAATTAACAGTTACATACGTTGCGCGCGCGTACGTTGAGACACAGAGGGACACCACGTGTTCCCCCTCTCCGACGTGACATTTGTTTAAATATAAATTTGAATTTATGAAACGTTCACAATTTTGTCTTATTCGCGCGAAACTTGCCGAAGATGCAAAAGTGTTCGTCACTTTTCGTTTGATTTAATCCTCGCGACGCTACAGATTTGCAAACGCGAGGACGAGATAATCGATGTGAAGTTTCGTGTCGTCGGTCGGACGATCGATTGAACCGAAAAATCTGACAGTTTTCCTTCTTCTAACTAAGTATGCACGTACTACTAAGTATTGCGCTTGTGTTTCAGGGCACACGTTGAACGGCCAGCCATTGCTGGAATTCCCGATGTCGAGCGGTGGACCGGCATTGGAACCCCTGAGAATCAAAAGGGCCACCCTCTGGGCGAGAGTGGAGCTCAAGCACGCCCATCACTATCAGCATCATCGTCACAGCCAGATCAACCAAAGGAACATCACCCTCTGGGTGTTCAGAGTGCACTGCGGTAACACGACGCATCTCCGGGGCAAGGTAATCCGTCCGACAATCGATAATTCTGCGCGACTTTTCGATTGGACTCAATGCATCGCGCTTCGTCGAGTCGCGTGATCTTAAACTCGATTGATTAATCGCCCTTGGTTCGCGACAAGTAGTTGAGTGAAAAACAATCATCTCGCGATCCTCGCCGCAGTTGTTGAATTCATTACTGCAGGGGAGGTACTGCTTCAAAATTTTCACCTGTCTTCCAATCGTTCATTATTCTTCCTTCGCACCAACGAGTGAATTCGAAATCAGACGCAACGCGCGGTATTCGCAGATAAAAAGATGGATGAACAAAAGGGAGAAGAAAGGAGAGGTTATGAGAGAGGGAGAGAGGGAGAGAGAGAGAGAGAGAGAGAGAGAGAGAGAGGTGTATTGGGTGTCTAGTTCTAGTCATCAGTTCTCTCAGCGCTTGCGGTAAATCCTGCTCGAGATGAGTGATTGGAATGTTGATTGAACTCTGTTTGGCAGGAGCTCGGGCAACACCTGGAAATGGTGACATCTCTCGTGGTGAACGTCGGCCAGCTCGGCTGGCAGAAATTCGACGTGACGAGGGTCGTGAGCAGTTGGTACACGGCGAGTTACTCGAAAGATAAGCTGACGCTGCTCGTCGACTGCAGCGGGTGCGGCTCGCACGTCCACGTATCGACCTTCGACGAGCACACGCGGCACATGATCGAGTCGTCCTTAAATCCAAAAGGTAAAAGACCTTTTGGAAACACTGATCAGAGTGCTTAACAGACGCACTCGCGCTCGAAGTCTAATCTGCTGCGTACTCGCTCAACCTTTTCACCGCTTGTTAATTAACTTCCCTTGAGAAAATTATTAAAATATTTGGTAGTCCTACGTTTTTCGGCTCGCTGCTTACGAATCTAAAGACAGATTTGCAAAATTCAAAATGGCGGACTCAATATGGCGATCATGATGTACAAGATTAATGAAAATTCCAATTATTATTGATGGTGTATATGGGTTTCTCGGGTCGCTGATTACGAATCTGAAGTCGGATTTGCAAAATTCCAAATGGCGGGCCCAATATGGCGACCATAATGTACGAAATTCCGATATAAAAGTTCCGATTATTATTGATGATACATGGGTTTTTCCCGAGTCGCTCATTACGAATCTTTTGAGTAAAATAATATTGATAGTATGGACAAGATGGAGATGACAGAATGAAAGAACTAGGAAAATAGAGCTAAAAAGTGGGAAAAAATCAAATTTCGGCCGTTTTGTAGAAATATTTGTTTATAAAAAAAATCTATCCTGCAAAAAAACTATTGAAAAAAATATATGTTCTTGTACAACATCAGAAAAATATTAGGTTTAGGATTAAACTCTCGATTCTTCCCTGAAAGAAGCATATTTCTTCAACTTTGATTTGCGATAAATAATCACAAATGAATAATTGAGTATAAAAACCTACCGGAGTGTGTTGAACAACTATTCGGTTATCTGGAAAACCTTAAATTCCCGATTAGTTCTTCAAAATCATGTGATTTACAAGGCAAAATTGAATCAAGAAGAGGTAGGAAGTATATACTTCCCCAGCAACAGTGAAAGGATTAAGCGATCGATTTGCAAGTCGAAGACCGAAGCAACGTTCTGTCAGACTTGCGTGAAAATGTCTTGCGATTGAGATCTCGATCATATCAGGGGCTGTTTAGGCTGTTTAGGCAATTTCTCGACCGAACGAATGAAAGAGCTTCGATCGGCTGCGTCGTCAGTAAGAATTTATAGTCCGACGTGACCGATCGAACGAGTGAAATCGCACGAAATTGTCGTTTGCATGAGAAACTCGACAATTTGTAGCTGTCCGCGCCGCCGTTGCGATACTTTGCGATCTTGCGATTCGCCGAGGTAACAGGAATGTGTCTCGTTTCACACAGGCGATCACGATCCGGACAGGCCGTTTTTGGTGGTGCGTACAGATCCGGCGGCTGCGAAGCGCGTGAGGAGACGAGCGATCGAGTGCAACGGCGCGATCAAGGGCCAATGCTGCAAGCAGAGGTTCTACGTGAGCTTCTCTCAGCTGGGATGGGACGATTGGATAATCGCTCCTCAAGGGTAAATCGCCGCAGCAGCCTACGATTCAATTTGCACAAAGATTTATATATAATAATGTCTCTGTAATAAAATATAATTTAATACGAGATAAAATGTCTCTGTCGTACAATCGTAACGTAGTTGCGCGGTGGTGTGTCGTACTCGAGTACTGTGGGAAAATGTAAATTCCTCTCTCCGAGGATGGGGGAAGTGGCTGAGCTATTTCGCATTGGCAATTGTCAAAAATGCCGCTTCTCGCTTCTCGCTAATCGTCGCGATTCTCTCTTCTCGACAGATACTACGCCAATTACTGCAGGGGTGACTGCGCGGCCGGTCACAGGACGCCGGACACGTTTCTCAACTATTACACCCACGTGATCGAGGAGTACCGGAAGATGGATCGGCTAGCTGGTATGCAACCGTGCTGCGCGCCTCTCAAGTTCTCGCCGATGTCGCTCATTTACTACGGCCCAGACTCGAACATCATCAAGAGGGACCTGCCGAAGATGGTGGTGGACGAGTGCGGCTGTCCCTAGGCGCACTCGGCCAGGAGGACAGGACGTGGAGGACGATCGGAGAGCGAGAATGCGTTCCGCTTCGCGACCAAGTGGAAGTAACAATCGCGAAAGCTTGCCGCGAGGAAGTGGCAACCGCCGCAACCGTCGGGCCCGGTCCGGCGAATCGGTCCACAAACCGTCCGAATTCTGCGATCTGGTGAGGCTCGTCTCGCGCGAAACGGAGAAAGCGGCGGCGTGCCGGAAACCGAACGAACGCGGGGTGGTTGATACCTGCCCCGAGGACGACCGCCCGAGGGTAAACCGGTAATCGCGCGAGGGTGCTTGGTAATACCGCTTAAACAAATTACTCGCCATCGGCCGACGATCGTGATCGCGCACTACGCTGCGATCCGCGCGGTCGGCGATAGTCCCCGATCGGGGAGAAATTAGAAATCGGATTAGACTGTCGAATTGGCCTTTCTAAGGTAGAACAGTCGAGTACGCGTAGAATAGAGAAAAAGAGACCACACTCTGGTCGTAATTTGTAAAAAGAGATTAAAAAGAGAGATATGGCGTCTCGGTTTCAAAGCGTCGTTTACGTGATATATATATATATATATATATATATATATATATATTTATCTATATATATATTTATCTATATCCGATTTATTTATACGCGATTGTAATAGGAGAAAGAGACGAAAGAAGTCAAAGTCGATATACTTACCCAAGAGCTTAGTCTTTCTTTATTAGTTGCGTGAGGAAGAAAGAAAGAGAGAGAGAGAGAGAGAGAGAGAGAGAGAGAGAGAGAGAATGAGAGAATGAATGAATGAGCGAACACGAGGGAGAGACAGAGAGACAGAGAGAGAGGAAGAGAGAGAGAGAGAGAGAGAGAGAGAGGGAGAGAGTGCGAAGAGCTTAACGATTGAAAGTAAAAAAAACGTGACTTTTACGATTGTAACATGTATATAACATATATTACAGATATTATATGTATACATACTCGGACGCGTATATAAATACACACGACGTGATTCAACCGAAGTATATAAAAATATTCGCGCACGGGCGCGTTAAAGGTTTAAGTATAAAAACGATAAAAACTCAATCTAATTGCCTTGTTTTTTATGCAGAACTTATGAAAGTATCGAAAGTAACGGTTTAAAAAGTAATAAAAATGCTATTTAAAGAATTTAAAAAATATATATATAAATATATTATAAATATGATACATACATACGCACGCACACACACACACACACACACACACACATATACACATATGCATAAATATACAAACAAACAAACAAACAGACAGACAGACAGACAGACAGACAGACAGACAGACAGACAGACAGACAGACAGACAGACAGACAGTCAGCCAGCCAGCAGGCAGCACACACGGACGCGTGCACATAATTTATACATACACCAACACACTTATACTTACGCAAACACGTGCAAATCCGCTATGTCGGGGCCGAGGATAGAATTTTGGGAACGAAACAGGCGGGATTGAAAGTACCCAAAAGTTCAAAAAAGGCTAAAAGACAAATTATTATTATTATTATTATTATTACTATTATTATTATTATCAATTAAACTTAAACAGTTGGCCAAGACTACAGTTGGGGTATTGCGAGCGTGCGTATATTTCGAGGACTTTTACAAACAAACACCGATATATAATTCGATAATCCGCAAAACTCAAGAATAAATACGAAAAAAAAGAAATATATATATATATATATTACGATACACACGAGAAAAAAGATAAAGAAGCAAAGCTACACACTCTCACATACATTGGATCTTTATCGTAACGTTAAGGGGGCATTCCGCAGTTTCCTTAATTCAGATATAAAAAAAGGCAAAACAAGCGAAATTGTACTTTAGCGTTGATGCAACTCGCCAGGGTCCGTCGAAACGAATGCGAATCGAAGGACGTTTCTAAAGGCGAAATTGTTGAAAGTAGCAGATATGCTGGAAGAGAAGACGCGAGAGTGTGCGAAGCATCACGATCAGCGAAATAACGAACAATAATGCGACAATAAACGAGAGACGAAGGACCTGAGGAAAAATTTCAATAAGAAAGTAAAAAAAGAAGGAGCGCCTCTCCATCACGGGGATAATAATTTTCGAATGGTAGCGCACACTCTTTCTTTCTCAAGAAACTTCGTTAATTGCTAATCTCGACGAGATTGTACGTCCGGGTCGTAATTT